CTTAAATAGGAATAAAATCATGAATTAAATGTAGAAGCGTAATAATAGAGTTAGAGTTTATATTCATTACACAATAGTTTAGAATGCCCAATAGTACTACGAGAACTGTTCCTTCTAAAAGAACAAACGAAAATTAAAAAAATAAATGAAAGATAAATAACTAAGCATTATAGGACGACCTTCACTAGCTTTTGAAGAGAATCCATGTAGTGAACTATTCACAACCTTCTTGTTGATCGAGATTTAAATCTTGGTCCTCTTGATCTGGAATAGTTAATGAAATGGTGATCTACATTAGCCTAGTAAAAATATCACACTAATCACATATACAAAAAACTGAAGATTTGTAAAAATCATAAAAACAACCAATAGAGCATTTAATTTAATGTAAATTTATTTACCATAAAGAAAGTTATTTATTCCATATTTACGTAACAAATTTTTTCTAAAAATAACTTATAAAAACTCATATCCATATACTTTTTATTATCACATATAAGATAATAAGAAACAATCATTTTTCGTTTTTACCCGCTTATCGATATCCCTGTGGGTTTATATGGATGTCATCTTACTCGTGAACCCAATATTCAATTAAATAATTAACCAGCCATCCTCATACCCCATTCGGTAATGGGTGCCAAATATTCCACTACCTCGATACTCCGTCCGGTATGAGGGTGAACCATATCTTTCAAATCTTGCTGGTAAGGGACTTTCCAGCCACATCTAGCTGAGGTAACGTTCATGGTAGGGTTCCCTATGTACCAAACACGTCCGCCCTTTCCCGAGTACCCAGTAAGTATTTTTCATACAGATTTCTATCAATATAACAATCAATCACATAATACCCATATCTTATTTTATACTCACAGTTTATTTAACAAACAATATAGTTTAACACAACCAAATAGCCAATGACCGGAATACTGATAAACAATGCAAGGGAAAAAATAACTAAATAATAAAAAGACCCTAAAAATCACCAATTCAGTTACGCACAGTATAATAGTAAACAAATATAGGCAATACAGGAAAATAAAAGGAAATCGAAATGACCATAAACTAACCGGTTCCAGCTCCACTAGTGACCTGTAATTATTTTTAGGGTTCTCTAATTTTTCATAAAAATATACAATTATTAAGCCCCAATTTGCCGTAACGGAGAAAAGGGTGAGAGATCCTTATTATGGTCGGTATTTTGGGACGTCGCGCTGTCTACTACATTTTTTAACAGGCACCAGATTTCCTAAATTTTTCCTACGAAATCCAAAATAGTTGTCACGTACCTAAAAATATCCTAAAAATCCAAAATCAGTGTCCAAAACTCATTATGCCCAATTTTGGGATTCTGCTAGGGTGGCACCGTCATGCTTCGACACCGGCTCTGTCGTCCACGGTGCTGGTTCACTTCGGATTAACCGATTTTGGCCAATTTTTGGGTGATTTTGACCATATCCCTGCAGAAAAACACATCAGGGGCCTCGGTTAGCTGGGAAACCACAAAATACTGAACTTACTGGTGGGGAAGACCTCCGGGTGTGGCGGCTTCGCCGATTCTCCTTCGTGGCTGAGGTTATTTCTTTGGCCAATCTACACAGAAAAGGACGATGAACACAATGATCGAAAAATTATGTAAAACGAAAATCGGAAAGGGGGTCATCAGAAGGGTTTTGGGACATTGGCCGCAGCGGCTCCACTGGGTTTTGCCCACATTTTTCATCTCACCTGCTATTCCTTTTGCTTTGATTTGGCTATGGAGGTGCTCGGAATCAAATTTCAAATGGGTAGGGAAAATTTTTACCTTTTTTTACGGTTGGTGGTGGCTCCGGTATGGCGGCAGCTGCCTCCTTCTATGACGTTTGGTTTTTCTTCTCTGGGGGGGGGGGGGGGGGGGGCTGACGGCTAGGGTTTGGGTTCCCATGTGATGCGAGGTATTTATATCCATCTCGCTTTGATCTGAGCCGTCCATCGCGATTAATCTCGTCTGTCCGAATCGCGCCTAAGGAAAAAATGAATCTAAATTGTCCATTGCGATTTTATCTCGACTCTCCGATCGCGTTTAAAGGAAGAATAAATCTGGGTCATCCACACACGCGGAATCGATCCTGGACAGTCCGATCGCGGGGCATGCGGATCGTTTGTGTGGCATCCTGCGTGGCACCGATGTCAGCGTGCCTCGCCACGCAGCGTGCTCCAGTTCGTCGGGGTTGCTGACTGGGCAGTTCTACGTGACACAATTTTTTCTATTTGTACTCTCATCATATATTTTTAATTTTTCTTTCAAAAACACCATCCGAACCCAAATTTTCACCCATTTCTGTCAAAATTATTTTCGATTTCATCCATATCTTATTTTTTTATAAATTCAATAAAAAATAAATTAATTTAATTTAAAAATAATTTTTATTTTGAAATGTCAAAATTAATTCCGGACTAAATTCTGAACTCCGATCTTCTCTAATTTTTGGACAACTAAACGGGTTGTGAAGCAAAAATTCTATATACATTTTCAGACTGGTTGTTCCACCTAGAAAATATAACCCCAATAAAACCATGAGAGATCCAACAAGTATCTTATCTTGAGAGACATATAGCCTATATTCTATATGACATGTCATAATGAATAAACATACGAATTACTAATTCTCTCATGAATCACATAAGTAACATGGTACATCAATTTTTTAAATACACATATGAAAATAAACCATATCAAGTAACCCTAAGCTCTAACATGCTTTATTTGTCTTTATATGAATATTATTTATATAAGAGTATATAACTCGTCATTTACAATAACTTTAACTCTATTTATCTATGTCATCTCTCATCTCAAACTCTCAATTTTTTATCTTTCAACGTTCATAAAGGAAATTCCTAATAATTCACAATGTTTACGAGTTTATAATATCATAATATTTAATTATATAATCTATTTTAAATGATTTTCTGTTAAACTAATATAAATTTCTAAAAACTATATAATAATAGTAAAAAAAATAAAAAAAATAAAACTTAAACTTAGCAAACATAATTTATGAGATTACAAATGATAACTCAATATGTTCAATTTTTTTTTTTTCCGAACAAAGCGTCATGTTTGTAATTTTAAAATCTCTAAATAGTGAAGTAGAGGGTACGTTTAAAACGATTTTTCTCTTGGTTTCACATAAGTCATCAATAAAATCTAAAACTTTAACATTTATGAAATATTGACTGCAATCTCATGTATAAAACATACAATAATATGTAATAATATTACAATTGCATTTTAAAAGATATTATAATTTATATAATAATATATAGTAAAATACACGAAATAAAATGTACTTATTTTTCTCAATTTTAAAATTCAATTTTAGGCCCAACCCATTTTAGCCCGTCCAAAAAGATTCATTATATGTTGTATTATACAAGCCCAACTTTACTAGCCTAATCGGCTTGGAATATTTTGCTTATTTTTATTTAGTACATATTTTAATTAGTTAAAATAGAAATATAAATCAAATTTTGTTATCCTGCCTTAGAATTTAGAACTTGATTATACCTTTTAATTATTTACATGAAATTTTTAATTTTTATTTATGATTGATGAATTTACTTAATTTAAGAGCTCAATTAGTTGTTTTTATAATTTTTAACAACTTTCATTTTTGTATCGATGAGTAGTGTGATATTCTTACCGAGTTAATATAACCCACTATTTCATTAATCATTTCAAATCAAGAGAATCAATATTTAGATCCTGATCAATAAGAGAGTTGTGAATAGTTCACCACCCGAACTCCCTTCAAAAATTAGTGAAGGTTGTCATATAATATCTAATTGTTTATTTATTTAATTTTTTACTTTTTTTTTAAATGTCATTATCGTAGTCTTATTAGATATTCTAAATTATTGTATAAGGAATATAAACCTTATTTCTACTATTTTACTTCATGATTCAATTTATAATTTATTTCTTTTTAAATTGTAGAACGTTACAATTATGACATCCTTTTTAATAATAATATGAAATCTGAAAAATAATTTAATTCAATAAATTTATTGAGTCGACGTTTGGAATAAATTTATACCTAATTTAATTAGAAAATAACAAAATTTCCCAATATAATAAAAATTCAATTAATATAAAAAATACATAAAATTTTATACATACCCTATTCTTTTATCATGCTAATATAATTTATATATTTTTATAATTAAATTAAAATTAAATGACTCATTAATTATTCATAAAAACATAAATGACACAATTACATTTCTCCAAATTGTCAACCCAAGAAAGGAATTTCCACCATCTAAATAATCAAAATTTAATTAAAGCCTTAAGTTTTGCAAGGAAAATAAAAGGTAAAAAAGGATTAGTCCGTTAGCAAATACCAACTTGGAAAAGTGAAAAAGTGAAAAAGTAAAAAAGTAAAAAGTAAAAAAGTCAAAGCCCAACAACACGGGTGGGTCATAGTTACCGGCATTCATATCTTCAATAATTACTAAACAAATTTTTAAAATTTGATTATTATTATAATTTAATTTTTAGTAAAAATTAAAATTATTATGTTATACTTAGATATTTTTAAAAAATAAATTTAATTAATTTTATTATTAATATATTAATTAATAAAGATATTTTTAACTATTTTCTAAAATATATAAATATAGGTTAACTATTTTAATTTTTTTAATTATAAAAAATTAAATAATAACAAAAAACATAAAAATTAAATTGTAGTAAATAATAAATTTAGGAGATAATTTAGTGATTTATGCACTCATAAAAAATTATATAATAATTAGTATAAATTATAACTTTGTTTAAAAATTACAAAAATTATTATTATTTTTTCTACAATAATGTATTAATAATGGGTTAGAATCTATTTTTTATATTTATTATTATTATTATTTTCCATTTACAGAAATTATTTTTTATATTGTTAATTTTATTATTAGTATTATATCTAGGCTGATAACCGTACAGCGATCCTTGGATTTACAGAGAGATCCGTAAATCTGAAGCAACGGTCCTCGACATCTCTAATCATTTGCTTTCTTCACGAGAAGAAGCTCAGTCTCTCTCTCTCTCTCTCTCCCCCTCGTTCTCTCTTGCGATTTGTATTATTATTTATTTGTTTTAATTCATATTTATGGGATTTAATAAGAGCTGGGGGGGATAAAGGAAGTGCGAGAAAAGCTAAAGAGCAAGAATCTATGTGCTGGGGGATTGCCCCATGCCTTTTCCTTCATATCCTTTTTGAGCTCGCAAAGCCATGGCCGACGATCTCTGTTTTTTCAGCAAGGTATGTTTGTTTCAATTCTATATGTCGTCCTATATATATGTAGCTGCTTTATTTACATGGCAGATGAATAAGATTCAGTCGTTTTATTTAATTATTTCGGGTTGCCATGTGAATGAATATTCTGATCTGGGTAGAGTTTTATTTTTATTTTTTTTCGAAGGGGGAATAATAAAGCATTTAATTTTTTTCCTGTTCTTTTGGGGCTTGTGTTGTCTGTCAATATGAAGGTCGAAGCATGGACAGATTTCTATTTTTTTTTAAGGAAGTCTGGGTTGATTGAGATATTCGCAAGTAGAATAACTTAATTTAATTGAGATTATTGATCTGTGTGTGTGTATATATATATATATATATATATATATATATATATATATATATGTATATTTATGTTGCTTGTTGGAAACGTTCTTCTCATTTTATACTTGTTTAAGCTAAACCTGATTGTTTAATCAGTACTCATGTCTTATTTTGTGATAATTTACTGATTTAGACATCTGGGTCTGCTCTTTCTAGGGTGGATTACATTAAATCATTATTTTTTTTTTGGAAATAAAAAGGTCAACTACATTGAATCATAGCTTGTTTGAACCAGGTTATTAGGGCTTCTAGATTATTTTGATATCTGGGTAATTTATCACTTGCAGGATTCTTTTATCTTTAAGTCTCCTAAGAAGTCTCCATTGTTGTTGAGGACGGTTGTCTTGGTATTTGTAATGGTATGTGGTGTGTATATATGCACAATTTGTCTGAAGCAAATAGGGGTTGGCACCAAGACTGGACTTTTGAGCCTTGAAGTATTCGACAGACCATGTCCCGAGCCGCAAATTGAGCCGTGGGATATTCCTTATGTGCACTACCCAAAACCAAAAACTTTTAGAAGGCAAGACAATCTCATAACTTCAGTTTGGAATTTGGTGACAATCTTGATGATATATGTTTTCTTTTTGCACATTTAGGGCGGAATGCGCTTGCCATCCTGTGAGGTATTTCGCTATTCTTTCAATGCAGAGATCTGGGAGTGGATGGTTTGAGACCCTGTTGAACAATCATACCAACATTAGCTCCAACGGGGAGATCTTTTCTGTTAAAGTTAGGAGGAGTAATATCTCTACCATTTTTGAGACCTTGGACAAAGTTTATAATCTAGACTGGCTCACAAGTGCTTCCAAGAATGAGTGCACAGCTGCAGTTGGGTTGAAGTGGATGCTTAATCAGGTGAATTGAAATAGTAGAACTGCACATTGCATATTTTATTAGTTCTGGAAAGTTCATGCCATAATTTTATATAAGATAAGAAAGTAACATATTTAGTTATATTTGGCTCCTTACTGTAATCTATTTTTAGAATCCTACTACTATTCTCCCTTGTGATATCAACAATGCATTTTAGTTAGCCTCTTGAAATCTCCCATAGGTTGTGGAAAATGAAAGAAGAAATTATATAAACAATTTGTGTCCTAGATATTGAGACTAGAATTTGTTGTCCTTGTTCTTGCTTCTTTTTTCTTCTAAGAGAAAATTAAGCTTTCTTTGATACATGAGAACATTTTCTGCTTTTCGTTTTATAAATTCATATATGTTTATGCATAAATTTATTCATGAAAGTATTTAAGATTTGCATATTTGTGGTGGAATAATCAAAGACAACCAAAATAGTTTTCTCGAAAATACTAAAAACTACATTTTGAACTTCTCTAGTTCTATGATCATTTTCATTGCTAACTAACTCGTATGGTTTTGTGAATGAAATACATATGAATTTAGAAAATAAAAACTATAAAATGTCTTCACGTGCCAAATGGAGCTTAAGGCTTCCAAAATCTTTTTGTATAAGCTCTTTATAACTGTTTTCTTCAGGGACGTAGTTTGTTGTTAGATAAGTTTATCATTGTCGAATCATAAGCAATCTTTTCAGTTAGTAAACTTGCCACTCCAGTTCATGAAAAGATCTGGATCCTTGGCATGCATTCAAACATTGATTGATACTGTTTTCTCAAAAAAACAAAAAGAGAAAGAAAACATTGATGGATATTCATTTTTCCCCTTAATTTGTAAACTGAAGAATCCCTGCTCATGGTGTGGTCAGTTAATAATGATTCTTAAGTGTAAGGAAATGATTGAAGGATCTATTTACCATACATCGTAAATCAACCTATCAAATCATGTGGTGTTAATGATCTGTGATTCATTCATTTTTTAGTCCTGTAGTTAATGACGCTTGAACAACTTTTAGCTACACGCAGTGCTATCCATGGTTTTACTACTAGTTATTTTTTTTTTGTTTGAGAAGATACTTCTGGTTGCATGCGAATGCTGAAATACTGGCACAGTTTGATTTTAGTAAAAGTAAAATTTTAATCATGTGGTTACTGATGCTCAAACCAGCTTTGGCTAGGTTTAGTATGATTTATGGAGTTTCACCTTTGTTTGCATTTTGTTTGAATAAGGTACTGCTCTGGTTGTGTGTGATTACATAACTGCAGAAGGATTTCAATTTTGTGGGCAGATATAAGGTTGAATTGATTCAAATTATAATTGCATGAAGTAAGAACAGGACTACGATACAAATATAATAGAAATGAATGAATATTGTATTCTAATCTCAAGTTAATTCTATATCTGATTGAAGATGTGTTTTTGTGATTTCTTCTTGGGGGAATACAAATTCTTGTTATGAAATTAAAAGATATAAATGAAGTTGATTCAATTATACATCAGATGTGTAAATTATGACTAGTTATTTATCAAATAGCTAAGCTATAAGAATTGAACGAATGGAAATGGGATTAGATTTAAACCAAACACAATTTAAGTTCTCTTAGTTTAAATGTTTTGCAAAATCTAGAAGAAGATGATGTTCATAGTAGTGGCTGTTTTTCCTTTCTGTTATTGCAGAATAAATATTTTATCTTGTTAGAATATATGTTGTACGAAGAGCTTAAAGAAAAATAGAGGATAGGGGTTCTCTTTGAAATGTTGAAACAAAACAGAGGAAGGCTCGAGGGTAAAATATTGTCACTTTGGAATAAACGGAAACTTGTGCAATGTTTGCTAACCTGTGTGATTGAAGTACTGTTTTTGTTTTGGATTAGGCTGATGATGACTAAACAGAATATGTTGATCTCTATTACAGAGAAAAAAAAAAAATTTCATGTGGAGAGGATAAAAAGCATGAGCTGAACAGTGTAAAATCATGTTGAGGATGCCCATTGGGGGCCAATAAAGCATTTTGATAATTAGTCTCTTAAAAAATTATTGACCTCATCAACGAAGGGGACCGGATATTTCTCTTTTGATTTTTTTTGCCTGGGATGATTTTACTCGCAAATACAGTTTTTCTAATTTCTGTCAGAGACTTGTGAAGCTCAAATTACTGATATCTGTTCGAGTTTTTTTGCTGGATGATTTTACTCGCAAATACAGTTTTCTAATTTCTGTCAGAGACTTGTGAAGCTCAAATTTGTTTAAAAATTTTGTTCTATTCGTTATGATAACGCATTAAGAACTGTAATACAGGCTAAATTGCTCTGTGCTGTAATCGAGCAATGCATGACTTGATATATGAATTGGATACTGGATAGGCTGGGTTCAAGATGTAAACATAGTTTACGTATCCATGCAAAGACATTTAAATTCATTATGTATTCTTTTCATGGAATTTTTTGTTAAATATGAGATTTTAGATTAGGCTTGCTGTAGATATGCCATTGGTATAATCTCCTTTTGCTGTTCTTTTCGATTTTCTCTTTTTTCTCGAGTTACTGATTGCTTGAAATTGTAATGAAAATTGCAGGGCTTGATGCAACATCATGAAGAAATAGTAGATTACTTCAAAACTCGTGGTGTTTCAGCAGTTTTTCTCTTCAGAAAAAATCTTTTACGTAGAATGATTTCGGTACTTGCAAATTCATATGATCGAGATGCTAAGCTATTAAATGGAACCCACAAGTCTCATGTCCATTCCCGTCATGAGGTTTCTGTCTTTCTCATTCTTACTCATCCCTTGCTCTTCAAGAAAAAGTAACATGATCCGAAATTTATAAGGTGATGGTTTCAGGCAGAGATATTGGCACGTTACAAGCCTTTCATCAATGCAACGCTGCTGATACCTAATCTGAAGCAGGTAGAAGCAACAACATCCAAAGCTTTGGCATACTTCAATAGCACTCGCCACATTGTCCTCTACTACGAGGACGTAGTCAAAAACCGAACTGTAAGATA